TAGTTGCTAGTTGATATTTTACAATAGCATTCCTGTCTACAGCGTTGCTTTATTTTTGCAGATTATGCTGCCACGCAGGTGTAGGTTAGAGCCAACTTGCGCGTTATACATCTCTGTATAGCATTTGGTTAAATTCTACTTAGAGTTAGTTTTAATTTTTAAATTCAATTTTTTTATTTCCCCGCCATGTAGGAGTGCTGTTTAACTTATTTGAGTTCTTAATAAAAGGATCTTTCACATCGTATTACACCTTTAATATATTTCCCTTTGCTTATGCAGATACAGCGATATCTAGACATAACGATCACTAACACGTCTACTAGAGGATTTGCCACAAATTACATTTAGTTACAGTTATGCCCTAGACAGTGATGTCTCAATTTTATGAGTCGCATGTGGAGCCTGTGAAACTGATGAATAAATAGAGATGCTTCGGTCCATTATAAAGGATTTTAGATCAGGTTTTAGTAGGAAAAGAGATCTCAAGCTCTCAAATTTAAACAAAAAGAATGTCTGGAGAGTGGATATGCGACTGGAGAGTGGATATGCAACCAGTTAAAATAACTTCTTGGTGGAGAATCAACAGAGTTACATTCTATAATGCCAGTAGAAAAGAAATGCGGCGTAGAATCGACAGAGAGGAAATGCGTAGATCGTCTACCAGTGACGGCACGGGTACTCAAAAACATTTTTCGAAATTTATGCCAGTGTTGATTCTATGCCGGGATCAATTTTACACAAAAGTCGATTCCGCCCAGGTACCCTAGAGAGTAATCATTTAATTAATTGCTTGATGATACGCCACTGCTAAATATGAATCTTGTCCACGCGATGCCAAAATCGATCCCAAGCGGTATCAGTTGTATAGCTTTGTGAATCCTATGCAGGTATAGGCTTGTAGCGATTCTGTACGTGTGACAAAGTGCATTAGTCCTAAGTTCTCATAATTAGTACACTATGAAGTTTCCTTTTATCATTTGAATCCTATACTAATAAAAACTGCCGATCGTATGTCTGTGTTGTTAGTCAATCCTACAGTGTTGATTCTTTGCAATGCCGATCATTTGAGTGTAAGGTACGAAAAATAATTCCAATGCAGGGGTTAGATTAACCAATGCCATGCTTTATAAATGTATTCTGCAATTCCATCATCTCATTCTTGATTGTAACCGAATGCCTTATTTCAGCCAAGGTGTTTCAGAAAGATGAAACCTCTCACCTTATTTTGAATAATCGATATTAAATTTAAAAGGCGCAAATCATGATTTGAAAAATATCGATTTATAAAATATATATAAGAAATTCAAACCAGTGTAAACTTCAAATTCCAGTTTAACGCTGACATTATAATAGATTCAACGCATTTCAAGAAAAAATTCAGGATGGTGTGTTTCTGAAGAAGATTTTGCTTATTTACTTAATAAAATATGACAAAGCATACGCAGATTATGAGGGATGCCTTTGTGGAGATTCTGAAGAAAACTGTCTCATATTTATATTTTTTAAATCATATCTCGAAATGCATGAAAAACTATTTAAGAATCAAAGCCAAAATTCCCCCTGCAAGTAGTTACTTATAAGAAATCTCCTTAGCATTTAAAGTTATAAAGACAATTTTTGAAATTATGCTTCCTAAATATTTACTGCTTCAGAGTTTTCTTCTTCAGTAAACATAGCTCTCATGCAAATACTTTCATTCAAGATCAAATATATACATATTAGATACTAAAGAATTTATACCGCTATTAAGAAAATCGGAAAAAGTAAAGAAATATAAACATAGTGGAAGAGAAAAATCCCATTCGAAATATCGCGAATCTTTTTTGCTTGCTTAGGAAACAGAATATCTTATTCTTTTTATCCACCATTCCCTTCACTGGCATCTTTATTCGCTCTCGAATCTTATATAACTTACCTTCCATGTTCTCTTGGGAAGAAATACTAAAAATTCATATGCGGATCTGAAATTCATCCTTTTCACAAAGTCTGCAAATACATGGGAATATGTACATAAAGCAGAGATACGTTTAAAAGGATATAAGGTTTTGGCTATTTTTAACTCCTGGGTTTCAGTTTTTATCTCTTTCTAGTGAATTTTCTTTCACGACAATTAACAAAACTAAAATTACGTAAATCCGGTAGAACAAAAGAATTCAAATTACTTTACACTTCAGTTTTTCGTGTATTGAAACGTAATAGTAACTTCTACAGCTTTGAATCATACAACAAAAGTGCAAGTTCTAAAGAAGAACAAGTATCCATGTATAATGCGGTTCTAGTCGAGTTGAAGAACTTAAAAAATAAACGTATATTTTTCGTTTTAAATTAGAGATTATTACATTAAAATAACAATTCATCAAAAGCTTTAAGTATTAATACTGCATAACGCTTTTTTCATCATCACCTTGTACAAGGGCACTTTCGTTTCGGCGAAATATTCTTATCTTCTGAATTTTCTTCAGCACCATATCTCTATGTTCCACGTTTTCAAAATAGACCGTTGTTTTCGAATATTTGTTTTCAGCTAAGAGATCTTTATAAATTTCATTGTACGGCTCAAAACATTTGTCACACACATTCTCTCTCAAATTCTGTGCCGCTTCCAGTGGAAAGATCTTTCATTTTTCTTTTCTGGCCTTTTAATTAGAGTCTGGCGATAACATGCACGGGTTTTAATATTCTATGATCTCAGATACTGAAAATTCTGCCGTGGATAATCGCTAACGGCAGTTTCCTTCGTCTTTTGGTTGAGTCGATTTAGGAAGGAATGAAGTTGTAGTAATGCCGTTCATAGGGGTATTTTTCACAGTTCTTGAATAGTCTTTTGGGAATTCCGTACTATAAACGGATGCGTTACAATAATATACAACCACTAAACTGAAACATAGACAGATACGCTTCCTGTGCTTTCAATATAATTAACTTAACATATATGAATTTAACTTTAAACTGATTAATTGGGCATCTGCTCATGCTGATTATTATCCTAACTCTCACATTTTTGAGTACTCTCAGTTTTGAGTACTTTCAGTAAATTCATTGCATCAACAAAAGAGTAACGAGAGATAATGTAAAGGCTCAAAGATATAAGAGATAAGCTCAAAGTAATGATATAAGTCACTATGCTCGGCTCTCTTCTTATTCAATTATGTTTCTACTGGTTCCTGGAGGGAATGAGTGTAAATAGAAAAAAAAGGCTTATTGGAAGGGAAACTAAATTGTTAATAAATGGGGGGAGAGGGACTCTTATATCTAAAACTGGTTTACTTATAAATTTTTTAAACCTCCATGGACCATCCTGTGTAATAATGGAACTAGTAGTTATAAGACCCCCCTTTTCAACAGCTGTGAGTTCGTTTTTCACTTAACGATAATTGCGTGCAAGTCTTCTAAATTATATTAAATTCCTAGCTTTAGTTTTTAAAACCAAAGGAAAAACAAAGAAGATACTGAGTCCGTTGGAGAGGTGAGAGTAAATTAAAGAATGATTAAATGTGGTATCGATTAACTTTTTTTTAACCTTTGTTAAGTATGTATGGAAGAAAAAATGGATCAAGCTAAATGAGGGATAAGATTTTAAGAAAAAATATCGCATTTAATCAAGATAGGAAAAGGCAAAGCTGAAATCAATAACTACAGATATTTTAAGAAACAAAACAGGCATAGATTTTAGTAAAACATTTTTAATATGATTAATTTTTAATTTGGACAACAAGAATATTCGAAAATGGAACGTTATCATGAAAATAACTAAATATAACATCTTAATTTTAAAACAATTTAATCTAAAACTTCAAATTGGTTATTTTGAAGCATTCTAAATTTAAAACATTTTTACATACTCTCCAATGCCTTTTGGGATTAAATTTTCCTACACGTGCCAAAATTTAATTTCTTATATACCAACGGAAATTTCTATATTAAAAATGACTTCAGAAAAGGAAGCTTATATTCCAATCAATCCCTTCTCCAAAAATGGCGCATATGATATCACACAAGTTTCATAGAAAATATAATTTGAATTGGAATTAGTGACACATGAATTAAGATCAGTTGGAAAATATGCAATATATGCATGTAAAAATACAACGCATGAGTAGACTTCATCTACGAGTGAACATCAAATTTACAATCATAACAATTTTAGACCAATTATTTAAAAATTAAATTCAGTAGTTTCAGATATTACTTTATAGAACTATCAACTTTATGCAAGCATATGATGACCCTAACCTCCTTGATTCCATCTATTCTTGCAGATTCGACCGTTTTAAATAAATTTCATCTTAAGTGGTAAAGTAGAAATTCAGAAAAATTTAATGAGAGATTTAAATCACATCCTAGCAGCTTGCTTCTGAGAAAATATTCAGTGGCTCTGTGAAAGAGCCAAGAAATGAATAGCAGTTTCTGAATTTGCAGTTAAAGGGTTCAAGAATAGTAAATATTTCTGTAAATTTTGGATTGTATGAATTAAGTCATAACAATTTGTAGACGAATTGTATACACATATTTGTAAATCTGAACATTATTAATTTCACTACATAAGTGTGATTTATACGAAGTGAAATCTATATAATGCATGATTTTTTCATTCCATTAGGATATCAATATTCAGCGATACGCAATACTTCCAATAATTTAAGTTAGTTGGGAAGGACTATTTTGGCATGTTTATGGAAAGCAGTATCTTGTCTATATAGATAAAGTCGAAATCTTCCGTTTCACGGCTCTGAGTACAGAAACTGCAACCGAAATGAAGCACTAAAGGTTTTGTATTACATTCAGTTAAATAGTTACGTAACAGTAAACATTTACTTCTCATTCTTTCTAATGAAAATATATGGCTGAAAAAGGCCAAATCTATGGAAATCTAAAATGAATTTACGCGTCGATTTGAGTCTAAATATTAATAGGAATTTTAATGCCACGAAGGGTAATTATTGCAGAAAAAATATATTTAATTGGAAAGAAAAACTAAAAAACTTAAAAATGTGTCTTACCAAAATCTGCTCTGCAGTAGTTATCTATGATATTTTCGTAAGTGTCTGGTTGATTGCAAGCACTACAACTCTGAGGTTCTGAAAAAATAAAAGGACAAGATTTAAATTATTTGCTCTTTATACGCAAATATTAGTTATTGCACATGAAATGTCAGATTTGGAATGAAATGAGTTTCATCACAAGAAATTCTAATATAAGAGGAATTAACAATATTAATGCTTAAACATTTCTGTAAGTATTCGTGAAGTGATTTGAGTTCTAGAATAAAGTATGATCTAATGTTCAAAATACGGAAACGACACTCAAATGGATATTTTGTCTTTAAGCGTTTAAATTGAATCATAACGCAAGAGAGGCATCAAGGAACATCAACACAGCATTTCGATCTCACCGTATAAGAAAACAAACCATACATAGTTCATTAGAAAATTCGAATCCGATGACAATATTCTCAAAACTATATAGCATAAACACGCAGTAGAACCCATCGACAATAATGAACAATGAATTTTAGTGAATTCTGACTCCGTCAAATTGTAAGGGATATGACTGAAAATATGAATGGATTTGAAAATATGGATATGAATTCAACATATTTCTGTCACTTACAAGCACTTAAAAAGGAAAACGTATTTCTTATGAAATCACGGAAAATGACATGAAGTATCATCTTCCAATTTCCTCTTCTCTCCTCTCCCAGAACAAAATATTTCGTTTTTGATCAGAAGACTGACATATGATGAAACATAATTCTGAAATGGTACTCGTCACCAATCTAGATAATAGCTTAATACTGATGAATCTCTATACTAGGAAGATGATTTTGAAGCGGCTAGAATATCTTTTGTGATATCTTTGAACGTATATATGCGCGCATATAAAAATATGTCAAAGAAATTAAGGCAATCTATATCAAAGTACACAAATTCAGGTATGAAATACTAGGAGAGTTTTTACATTAAAATCAAAAAAATAATTTCATAGTAGTTTTGGGAAATTTGTGCTTTCTTAGCGAAACCACTGGACGTTTAGAGTGTTAATTACATACAACCGGTATTCCATCTTAAAATGCGATGTAAGCTATTAATGCTGAATACTGAACCAGCTGGATGCAGCCCACCTAAAATTCGGATAAGGTTGTTGCAAGTCGTACCACCGATTAAGTCGTACCTTTTCAATATTAGGCGTAATATCACGCTTCTTCTTCCTGCGAAAGGAGTTACCCATTAGTTAACTATAGTATTTCACATCCTGCTCGTCTTCCTGTAATATTTGTGAGAAGGACCGCGAAGGGAATATGATTTAGTGCCTAAAATGCGAAGGATGGGTACAAAAGTTATGTGCTGTACTTGACAAGAAAATGAAAAAATACTGAGAGAAAGAGCGTTTTATTATAATTATTCAATTTTGAACGCATTATGACTTAGAATACTGATTGTCCAAGAGGTATTAAGCTCGTGTTCATAAAATTTATTTATTTGATAGAAAAGATGAGACTATATGGTATTCTACTAATTTTACTTGTAATAAATACCAGCAACGATAACTCAAGATATTATTACCATACATAATTTATATTTTTTCATAGATACCTATTTTTTTTTGAGGGAGTACAACTTACGCAACCTTACCCTACATGTGCGCTCTAGATTGATGAATGGTGATGCTTTATTATAACGTGTCACAAATTGTATCAAAATCAGATTTAGAATAAGAGAATATTTTTTTCCATCATACTCACAGATCTTTAGCGAAATATATTCCTCCTTTAACCATTTGGAACATTTCTGAGAGAAGAAATATTTCAAAAATGGTTCAACTATTATTAACACTTTCAAAGAATTTCTGAAGTCTAGAACTTGTACAAAACTGGCATGAAAGCATTTGGATCTCGTTGAAAAAATTATATTACATCTCATAATGCCTACTTGAATCCATAAATATGGAACTTAACAGTGTTACAATTGTTTACAATTTCACCACCAAATCCAATATTTCACGTTCAACAGCAATAAAAAGACAAAATGTATTCTCACTTATACTATGTATATACATGTATACATATAGTGAAAACTGAGTACTATTTTATTAGAAAAGTGTTAAATTTAGAAGGTGCTACACATTTAAAATATGAATCTAATCATTGAATTAATAGCAATATAATATTAACTTCCGCTACACATCTCATACGTAAGACATACATATATATAAATGCATTGAACTATGTTCCACCAAAATTTCTTTCGACAGTCACAGAAGTCAAAGTTAGTTTAGAACCCAGAAATAAAATTGTACCAAGCATATAGTATAGCACTGATCAAAGCAGACACCAAGGTTATAGATTTATTAATTTAGTACAATGCTACTTAAAGAAGGCGACAAGATTATGGATTTTTTATTTCATCAGATAATAACAAAATAAATAAGTGGAATAGCAATTTTTTCCTTGAATCAAAAGGAGACATCTTCAGTTTGATTGTCAGCAGTTTTGATACGTTTTTCAGCCAATCAGATTATGAGAATAAAAATTATTATGAAATCGATTAACGAAGAAGAACTATCATATAGAAGATTTATAACTATGTTGTTTGTTGAATATATTTAAATTCTATAGACGGTAAAGATGTGTTGACTTCAAATGCTTGAAATGATTCGTAACAAAAAAAAAAAAAAAAAAAGAGCTTTGTAAAACAACAAACATAACAACAAAATAAAAATATGCCTAAAAACTTTTATTGATGACATCTGTTTTTGTCATAGACCTTATAAGAAGTAGACTAACCCAAATGGGTTTTCTCCCTCGTCTGAGGCTTTCCCGGCTGTCACCTTGATCACATCCGAAGGAGTAGGGACGACTTGCAGAAATTTAACAGTGGTTGCCTATTGGAGCGTGTATAATTGTCAAAAGAAAGCTGGTTGCAGCGCCTCATTTCACAAATTATAATTTCTCCATGTTTTATTTTTGAAATTGAGATTGATCTTTAAAAATTTAGCATATTTATCAAGCATAATTAACGTTCCAAATAATTATAAAGCTATTGCATGCTTTCAGGGCTGGATATTTTTTTAGCTTTTCCTATGCTGTAAGGAAATTTGTAACTCCTTCTTTTAGAAAATAATATTTTAAATCTGAACTAATAGAAAATTTGAAACACGCAATTTTATTTTGCAGTTTTTATGCTTTTATTGGTGTAAATAAGTTAAAAATACTAAAATATTTAAAAATGAATTTTAGAAAGTTTTGTTTAAAATTCTAAATTGTGCTGCTTTTTTTAAATTATAGATGAATATTGTAGCATAATTTCTACAAAGGAAATTTATTTCAATTATATTTCATAATACATCATAGTGATAAACACTTTTGACTCCTTAATAATTTTTATATATTTAATTCTAATATTAAAATTGTATTTAACCGTAATAATTAATTTTGCTTGTATTTTATAGTGATTATTTTTTAAATGTATTTTTAGTTCTGCATAATTTTTTTTATTTACTGCTAATTTAATTTATTACCCCAAAGGGGCGGTAGCCTAGAAAGGCTGTTAGTTCGAAGCGGCATTTTGCGCTGTTTCACTATAAATGTCCGTGTCTCCTTGCAAATTTTTGTTACCAAATATTATCGCCCTGTATTATATTTAAAGAAATTAAATAATGAAGAATCCGCATGAATACATGTATGTTTCTCGCACTGTGACAAAAACGACGATATCTAGAGCCATCAAATTTTGAATAATGTAATCCTCCACCCGAACATGGGCATCTGGACGACAGAATTTCGAATTTGTTTTAATCTATTTCATATTTTGTAAAACTTTAACGAATTTTTGATTAACAAACTCAACGAGTTCAGAGCAAGCCCTGTACGGAAAATAAAAATTTTATCTCCAGTGCGCAAATTCTAAAGATATGCTGTTTTCAAATGTATGTGGTTTACGGGCGAACATGATATTCAATAAATATAGGTAAAACACAAAACGTTAAAAAAAGGTTCCTTTTGGGGGTAATATAATATCTTAATGCTTTTAGATTTTATTTTACCTCCCCCCCCCTTCATTACACTCAGAAAATTTTATGCTCCGAATTTTATAAATTACTAAAATAAATATTCCACTTTAATGTTAATAAGTTAATGAGGATATAAATCAAATAACTGATTGTTTTGTAATGTTATTATAGTTTTGAAAATCACTGCCTGAAAATGGTCATTAAATTTAAAAAAAAGTTATGAGATCTTTTTTAATTTTACCTTATTTATTTCAAAGCATCACGTACTATCAATCTTATTTAATTTTACGTTAATTGTACGCAAAGTTAAGTTCATAAATTTTGTGCCTAGAGTTTTTACCGTTTTACCAAAGTAAAGATGTTTGGACAAGAATTACGCGTGAAAACAATACGCAAAATGCAGTAAAAAGTGCTTTAATGAGATATATTAAATCCTATTTGGAAAAAACTGTGGCTTTCATAATCTCATCACTATACAACGCATCACATTTAATAATTAAAAAGAGTTATGTGATACCAACGCCATAGGTTTCAGTGTTAAAGTAAACCAAATCGTCCCTACTCTTTCTTGCCGACATGTCGGTGACGCGCGCCCCGCCCACTGGTTAGTCTATCTCTTATAAGGTCCATGGTTTTTGTAGGTACAAACAATCACTTAAAATATTTATATAAAAATATTTAATTGCAAAATACATACGTGTAGAACAAAGGATTCACAGTGATGCTCAAAATTCATCTTGGAAGGATTTTGACTGGATGATTTTTTACTGTTGTTTTATTTCTAAGACACGTGTTTTTGTTATATTTTCTACAATATTAATGCATTTTTATGTGATATTGAAAATAAAGTTTTTCACTCTCCTCAATGGATATCTAAAAAGCTGCTTATATAGAGCATATAAACTCTTTTTAAGGCATCTGATCTCCATTGCATAAATTTAAGTATTTGGACCTGTTTTCGGTTATATACATCATCAGAACTATACCATAATCACGAATCTGCATTTTTCTGCTTATATGCCATAATCACGAATCACGAATGCCATAATCACGAATCACGAATGCCATA